CACACCAAAGGACAAGAGGTCCAGAAGCAGGCGGGCAGCCTTACCCCGATCCCTCAAGCCCCTTGCATTCAGCGTAGCTATCTTAATTTCCATCTTCTAAGTCCTGTAAAATAGAAAAAACAGAATTAACCTACTCACATACGGGGCAGAAATCTGCGTTAAGCAGGACCCAGACGGATTGTCCCAGGCTTCCAGTACCCAATTCAGTCATCATACGACCGTCCAGGACAATACCGCCGACGTCCGTGGGGGATATTAGCTTAATATCCCTATATAAAGAGGGGTTGACTAAAACAGGGACCCTCCCAGAGCAAAAGTTTCGGAGTTTTTTAAGGTTGGGGTTGTCCAGTTCACATATTCTGATGTCTGGAAAAGCCTCCTTTGCTTCAAATAGGTGGCTCCAGACCTTTAGGTAGCCCCCGGTGTCCCTGACACAGGTAATGATCCCTGGAGCCTTCGGGAAATTTCGGGGGTCTTCGACACTTTTGCCGTCCACCTCCGACATTTTATATAATACCCCCAACAGGGCTTTCCTTTATTTGGATAGGCCCTTCCTGTATTCGTCTTTGTCAATCTTGCAGATTGACTCGGGGCCCTCAAACATTTTCTTTTTTTTTCTCCCTAGAAGGATGGGGAGGGGTGGACGTGTGTGGTGGTGTGTTTAACGAATTTAGGGAAGAGGTGGATGGAGCGGGAGATTGAGCACGGGAAAGGGAAGTAGGGAAGCTCCTAACTCCGGGAGAGCAGGTAGGTCTTATTGGTGAATCAGGGAAGGAGCGCCGCCTGGTTCTGTTTATGCTTTGCTCCGCCATGCTACGACCAGAATAACTTTCTTGGGATTCTTCTTCTTCCTCCTCCTCCTCTCTGCACCTCTTCAGGGACGCAGCACGAGGTGGAGGCATGCTTTCCACTTCCATGGGCATCACCATTTGTTGTCGTTCCTTTTGTTGCTGCTGATGTTGTTTCGGCTGCTGTTGGAGTTTATCCTCCTGCTTGTGCAGTTTCTTCTCCTCCTGTTTCTGCTGCTTTTGTTGTTGCTGCTGCTGCCGCTTTTGTTGGCCTTCCTTGGGTTTCGGCTTTTCCGGCAGCTTCTTTTCCAAAGCTTTCTCCTTCTGGGGGGGGGAGACGGGACCTTTGAGGCCTTCCGTCCTCTGGAGACTTCCTTCCACTCTCCACTTGTTGAAGTCCCCTCCCCAGGTTGAGACGCCGCTACTGTCGTTGTGTCCTTTGTCTCAATACCTTCGCCATATGCCCCAGGACTCTGCACGCTCAACAATACGGCTTCCGACCCTCAACGACCACCAACATTCTCCTTTCCCGACAGGTCAGGATATTCGGCATGTCGCGGAAATTGTCCCTGTCTATCGTAATCGACACCTCCATGTCACCGGTGGCAATTCCTGCCTTGCTTCCAAACCTCCACGCTGTTCACCTTTCCAAACCTGGTGAAGAATGTCCGCATCCTATCTGGGCATACGTCCACCGGCACCCCATGAACCGTTAATTTGGTCCTTCGGGTGTCTAAATATTCCGTTTGAAGACGGAGATTTTTGGTGTCGAGGACTTTTACTGCCAGCTCTTTGGCCTCCTGTTCGGTTTGCAGTTAAACGTCCCACAATGCACTCGTCCTACTTGCCAGGACCTTTGGGCTTATCCTCAGGGTCTTCAAGGTTTCCTCCATTGTATCCCTGCTGACACCAATGAGCTTCCGAGTCTTAATTATCGGAAGTCAGCAGGGATATCGTTCTTGACCGCAGCCAGAGCCTCGTTTATTGTGAGAAAATCATTCCCTTGAAACGAGCTCTCAAATTTCTCTTTCTGGCAGATGTAATACTTTGCATCTTTTATCGCCGGCCTATTGTTGGACCATAGCATTTTTCTCAGTTGACACCGTCGGTGATTCTGCTGGCGGACTCATATTTACGTTTGTGTCGTCGGCCATTTTGATCGCGACTAAACGAATAACGCTGTATTTCTTTTAAATGTTTTTCCCTTTTAATTTTTTTCCAAAAAGGGGCATAAACAGAAAATAATACGAATGAAAAACGTGGACAACCAAAGATAATTCAAACAAATAAATACAAAACAAAGTAATGTAAACAAAAACAGTGGGGAGGGTAAAAATTGCAAGAAAGAAAAAGGATATAAACAAAAAATAAAAGAAACAAAATACACAAATAAACTTAAAACTGAGAACTTCAAAAAGTTTTTAGAAAATCAAATCAAAAACTTAACAGGGCGTCAATACTTGCAAAAAGCTTGTCTCACTTGCACCAAAAAACAATAATCCACCAAAAGAGGGGGGGTATATGTGTGTACTAGTGAGCTAGCCTAAATGAGCTGACTCATTTCACCAATAGAAGGGTTAACTAATCAGAAAGCTCAAAATATTCAATGCGACGTGTATAAAGGCAGCCATTTTTTTCTCCCAAATTGTCTGCACTGCCAACCTGATATCGAAGACTAAGAATTACTTAACAACTGCTACTTTCTCTGAATCTTCACTGCCGACCTCTGATATTGAACAGATTACGGACTTCACTGGATTCCATATTCAGAGACTGCAGCCAACATGGTCAACAATGGTTACGAGCCTAAGTTACGATTGTATTTTAACGGAGACGAAACCAAGTTTGAATTATGGGAAACCAAATACTTAGGCTACCTTAGAATACAAAACTTCATGACATCATCCTTTGCCAAGATGACCAGAAAGAAGACGATGATTTTATGGAAAGAAATGCGACCGAATTAATACAATGCCTGGATGACAGGAGTTTGTCATTGATAATGAGAGAAGCCAAGGACAGTGGTCGACGAGCTCTACGAATTTAGCGAGAACACTACTTGTCAAAAGGTAAGCCTAAAATTATTGCTTTATATAATGAACTAATCGCGTTAAGGAGACGGGAAAATGAATCTGTAACAGATTATATTATACGAGCTGAGAATGTCACAAATGCCTTAAAAATGGCAGGCTGCTAATAGCCATGGTTTTAAAGAGATTACCACCGACATTCAAACCATTCACGACAGTTATAACTCAAAAAGATAAAAAATTAACTTTCACTGAGTTTAAAATTGCGTTACGTAGTTATGAAGAAACTGAAAAAATGTGTATCCCATAAAATCAAGGAAATAACGTAATGCAACTGAGAACGACATTTAAAAAATTCAGAAAAACAGTACCTCAAACCTATCAGACTATGAATTATGATATTAAAAACAAGGGGCTTAAAAACAATTATTACAATAACAACAACTGGAATAGTAATAATAGAAAAAGAAATATCGTTTGTTTTCGTTGTGGTAAAGCCGGCCATGTACGTGCAAAATGTCAATTTTATACAAGGAATGATTTTTGTAAAAATGTAAAAACTTTTTCGAATGGGCGAACATATGCCTTTTCGTTTGGGTTGGATACTATGACCAATAGTTATAATTCTTACCTAGTCGATACGTGTGCGACAAATCATGTAATTACAAATGAAACAAAATTTATTAATTTTGACCCCAACATTGAGGTAAGCTGTCAGATCTAGACCAATAATATTGCAGATTCTTCTTTAGATTTTATCAAGGAACTCAAAGTAAATAGATGCGGCACCGGACCATATGTGGCAGCAATATTATAAGCATAGACGAATGGTAGATTTATAGATATATATGATTGATTCTGGAGAGAAAAATTGAACAACTGAACCGACCTTCTTAGCAGCTGACCCTGCAATGGATTCAATATAGTCTTTCCACTTCATGCCATTTTTACTTTCTCGGTCTAATTAGCCTTACTATGGAGGCAGAAGTAAATGGTTATGTCATCAGCGTAGATACAAGTTGAGAGTGAATGTCCTCAGAAAAGTCATTAAAGAAAATTAAATACAGGGTAAAACCAAGGATGTATCTCTGAGGGGCAACCGCCTTAGTACGAATGGATCTAGACAAGTGGGCGTTGAGGATAACATTAATTTCACAATTTGACAGGAAAAACTGGATCAGTTCAGAAATGTATCCGGAGACACCGCATCTTTTTAGCTTGTCTGTTTATTTTCTTCTCGTTCATTTGATCGGAGACCGTCACATACATACCATTGATCCCACAACCCCATCAGTAAGTAATAAAGGAAAGGGGAAGATTTGCTTTCAAGGATACATGTATACGAAACAGATCAATTACTATCAGATGGAGAATTTTTCATATTTTTCTACTTGAGCCATTTTTACCAGTGCCATTTAATACTTAAATTCCGAAGTATGACATTATTAACAACAGATATCTAATCTTTGGACTTCACTTTTTACCTTTAAACCTTTTTTGAACGCAAATTTGGATGTACGAATAACTTGAATAGTCAAACCTCACATACATAAATTCACATTTCTCATATTTTTAATATACACACGTATTTTACTTACACTTAGCGAGACAAAACCATTGACTAGACGCCTCTTCTTTTAATTTGAGATTTCACACAGATATTCGTTACAGAGAAAAAAAAAGAATTTCTAAACATGTATATAAAACCTGGATGCACATTTTTAAAACTTGTTTTTTTTCTTAGACGTAAGTTGCAAGGATAGACATTATTATCAATAGGTTGCTAGACAAAACGCTATCAATAGGGCAGCTGCTCTTAGTACAAGTAAATAATTTTGAATCAACAGTAATATTGGAAATATGTGAGGAATAAAGAAAAAAGATAATCAGTTCAGATAAAAGAAAAACAGGAGTTTCTCAAGAATCGCCGCTCACTCATCTCTTCAAATATCATTTGTGCATTAACTTTAAATAAATAATTCTTTTAAAGTTGTGACGCTCAGATGTTTCCGTTTTCATAAGATCTAAAGCCTCGACAAAAGAAAAGAAAAGAAACATACATTTCGGCATTACAAAATTGCTGAAGCTTGGATTAGTGCATTTTTTTTTTAAAGAGTCTTGTCATCAGGTGTCTTGCCATTTAAATCAAATTTAAATTTGATTTTCTTAACAGCATCTCGAGATGCGTCATACTGCGTCTTTGGTGTTTCTTACAAAGATTTATTTTTTGTCTTCTTTCATATTTCATGTAATTTTAATTTTTCTGCTTTTATATCGCATTCTCTCTATCTCCTTCTCTCCGTCACTGCCATTTATTTTTTGTTCACCAAAGATCTTTCGTTTTTCGCTTTCAGTTTAAAAAATACTCTTTCGGTTTTGCTCTCGTCTCTATACAATTATTCTTTGTTTTTTCTTTTTCTTTTATTCCTTCTAATGAACTGACGTCGTTTCCTGGTAACGCATTTTTTTTTATCATTCCTTTCTTTCTGTCTTTCTACGAGAATGCGTTTATATTACTCACTTAATTCATTCTTCTTTTGTGTCTTTTATTCTACGATTTTTTAAAAAATTTTAAACTCTTACAAATCTTTTTATGTTTCTTCCTGCATTAGATTTCAGTTCTTTTTTTTTTAATTTACTTTAATTCTTTTTTTTTTAATTCTTTTAATTTTAATTTCATTCTTTTTTCTTTGTTTGTCTTTCTTTTTTTGTTTTACTCTACTATTCTGCTTTTCTTTTAATCTCTCTTTTTTTCTTTTTTCTTTTACTGGACTATTCTCGTTTTTTTAATCGTTTCTTTTTTCCATTCTTTTTTCTTTCTTTTTCCTTTTAGTATAATATTTCCTTTTCTTTTAATCTCTTCTTTCATTTATCTTTCTTTCTTTTTTTCTTTTTACTGTATTCTTCTCAATTTCTTTTAATCGCTTTTTCTTTTTTTCTTTTTTCTTTCTTTATTCGTTTACTGTACTGTTCTCTTTTTTCAATCGTTCTTTCTTTTCTTTCTTTCTCTTTTATTCTCCATTTCTTTTAATCTCTTCTTTTCTTCTAACCTCTTCTTTCTTTATTTTTCTTTCCTACTTTGTTTTTTCTTTCTTTTACTGTACTATTCCCCTTTTCTTTTAATCTTTCCTTTCTCTCTTTCCTTGTTTTTTTTTTCGTTTTTCTCTTCTTTCTTTTAATGTACTATTTTTCTATCTTTTAATCTCCTCCTTCTTTCTTTCTTTCTTTCTTTCTTTCTTTCTTTCTTTCTTTCAGTTCATTTCTTGTCTTTCGTGTATCTTATTTATTTTCTTGTCTTTCTTTCAGTTAATTCAGTCATCGTTCTTTCTTTATTTCTGTCTTATTATTTACTTGTCATTTCTTTTGTCTTTCTTTCTTTCTTTCTTTCTTTCTTTCTTTCTTTCTTTCTTTCTTTCTTTCTACTGATTTCTCGTCTATATTTCGATAATATTCTTGTCTTTCTTTCTTCATTTTCTCCTTTTTCTTTATTTCTTTCTTTCATATTTCCCCATAAGTTAATCCTCCCAGTTTTTCAAACATTTATCACGCGCCCTTCATATTTGCATAATAATTTATTCAATACTTCCCAACTTCCTCCGTTGTATACTCGCCTCAGATTTCATTTCATTTTCTTTCTCTTCTCTGTTCGTTATCCTTTTCTCATTGGTTCCCCCTCTCTCTTTTCCTAATGCCGATTCTCACCTAACCAGAAAATAAAAGATGAGAAGTAAATAAACATAACCAACAACTGACAAATATTTCATAAGCAATAAATCGATATAACTGCTTTCTGCTTGCGTTTTCGCGACAAAAAATCATCCAAAGTTGCCAACTGAGTCATTGTTCACTTGAAAAGTCTCATGTACAGGTCGGGCAACTGATCGGCCCGTCGCCAGATTTCATCATCGACACCATTACTTCTCGTGGTTTTTCCTGATCAATGCAATTAACTTAGGTGAACCCCAGTTCAAGAAGTAGATTCTCATAACTGATAGAGTTCTTGACCTTTTCTTACGAACACCAGAGGCACATTATTATCTCCTCACAGAAATCAATAATAGACGAGTTCCAGTAAATAAATATGGCCGTTATTGCGATCAATTTCGGCAGGGAGTGAATTTTCGACCAATGAATTACTTCAATAATCTCCTAATTTTCCGCATTTGTTCATTAAGATATGTGAATGTTAACAAATTTGGAAATTTTATACCTATGTTTGCAATGTTTTCAGCCATAGGCTGCACATTTGCGATGAGTGATGAAGTCCATCTGCGTTGAAATGAAAATAGTAAAAGGAAAACTAACCAACACGAAAACTATGGTCTTAAGTTAATGATGTGTTAAAATATACGAATCAGTAGACACAAAACAATCTATCTATCTATCTATCTATCTATCTATCTATCTATCTATCTATCTATCTATCTATCTATCTATCTCCTATTTCAGCCTGACAGACTGTAATTAGCGGAATATTTAACTAAAATGTGATCAATATTCAATATATTCCATTGGTTCGTGAACTTAGTGACACGGTAATAGTATTTTCAAGGACAAGTCCAGATATCATTAAATAGCGGAACGGGAATTATCAAATTCGGCAGAGGGAATGAAGTCCAGTTCTAAATTTCCTAAAAGTTACCAAGATCAACAGACACAAGAAGACAACCAGATGTTGTGATAAATAGAACAAAGATGAGGAGATAAGACCGAATTGAAGTTAGGAAATAATGATGACGGCTCACCAGAAATCCAGAAATATATATATATATATATATATATATATATATATATATATATATATATATATATATATATATACATACATATATATATATATATATATATATATATATATATATATATGTGTGTGTGTGTGTGTGTTGAGCAAAATAAATACTTGTTCCATTATTAATCAACAATTATATTGATTTGCCTATTATAGTTATACAGAATTAGTGATATCTATCTATCTATCTATCTATATATATATATATATATATATATATATATATATATATATATATATATATATATATATATATATATATATATATATATATAATTTATTTTTGAATGTTATTTTAATGGATACCCATATTTGAATAGATGCCCTGTTTAATTATTAAACTTATGTTTATTTATTTCTATCTACCGGCCTGTATATTCGAGAAATCTTATTAGAAATCCAAAGAATGCATATTTTTAATAAAATTTCTCGAAAATTCAGTCAGTTAAATGGAAATAAATAAAACTAATGTTTAATAAATAAACAAAACGTCTACTCAAATATAGCTATCCATTAAAAATAACATTTACCAATTAACTACAATATGATGGATTAATAAATGAAAAATCCATTTCAAATATTTTATCCTGATGACCCGTAAGGTCATAGGCTCAACACAAGTACTGCAGCTGCAGTAGAAGGTGTTTCTTGGGCAAGATACTAGGGTATACGACGCCCAACCTTTTTCAGGCCGGATTTGAATTTAGAGTTTTCCTTCTCCTATACCGGTTGCCACCCAAAGCTATAGATCCTAATCTGTCTTGCTATCTACCCATAGCTGGGGTGAGGAGAAAAAGAGGATTCATATCTTTCCCAAGGGTATTACCACGTAAGCGAATGTAATGGATCCGACTGGAATTCTAACTCTGCTCTACAATTCCTAATATATATATATATATATATATATATATATATATATATATATATATATATATATATATATATATATATACACGTCACGCATTATGAAATGGACAAAGTCCGACAATTATTTTAAGACATTTTTATGTTTATACATTCTTTTTATACATACAAATAATTAAGTAAATGCTCTGTTTATAATAAACAGTATTAAACAACATTTACCGGCCTAAATGTCCGAGAAATTTTCATAGAAAACATTCGTCCACCGACAGGATTCAAACCTGTATCCTATACGGAACCGTCATATAGACTGACGTGCCTTTTAACCGATTGGGCCACATAGGATCGTTCGGTTAGCAAGGTCGAATTCACTGATTTGTTATATATAAAAGGTGTTTCAATAATTTGGATCAATCTGAAGCTTAATTCCCATTTAAAATAGGGTCCGACTTATTGGAACACTCTTTACAGAATGCAGAATTTCATCCTATTTTTGGTACTCTTCAGCAGTACGTATCCACTACCGGACAATTATGATATGAGGCAAACGTCATACCAGCTGTACCAACGGGCCTCGGTGACGAAGAAGTAGCGAATTAGACTAGATATAGCGCCGCTCGATCACCTATTCCGTATTGTAACTCTTCACTTACCCTTAGGACTCTGCCACAACTACTATCCCCTGGCCGTTCTATCTACAGCATTAGAAGCCGGTTCAAGCAACGATATACAAGTGATAGAAATTAAGGAGAGTTGAGATAATCGTAATTATGTAATTCATCGTGTCTAGAAGAAACCTGAACAGACTGCTGATGAGTCCCAAATATAAGACGAAACGGCCGTCCAGTGCTTTCTGCATTCTGTTAAGGTTTCTTCTAGACTCGATGAATTATTTAATTATGATATATATATATATATATATATATATATATATATATATATATATATATATATATGAACTTCTTGTATGTGACGGGGGCGAACATTGCTTGCCAAAGCTTACTATCCTTTGTATCTCTTCGTAGGTTTTGTCATCTTATTATCCTTTCAACTTCCATTTCTGCTATCCACAAGTTATTTTGGTAGGTGACTCACTATTTCCCTTTCTTCCTCTTGTCTTCCTGCGAGTATCAACTTCTCTAAGCCTTTATTCGTCATTATCTGACATAGAATATTCAGTTGTATTTTTCGAAATTGTAATTATAAATGTTCTTTTTGTTTTCGTTATCCTTAAAAATTCCTCGTTACTTACATGTCTAGTCCATGTTATTCTCATTATTCTTTTGTAGAACTACATCTCATACAGATTGTCCAGTATTAATTTCTATTTCTTAATTTTTTGTTTACATTTGGAAGACAACTTTTTTTTAAATTCCAGAGTGTTTTCGTGGTGTCACATTTTCATTCACCTGCTAAAACCCTTCCCAGATATATAAATTTTCGTAGATGATTGAATTTTGGCACCTTCAAATCACAGCTTGCATCTGGGGATGTTTATCTTAGTATGTCTATATGGTTATACACTCGATTCTTGTTTATTTTCCTTGGAGATATGTAATAGAATCTATTTATATATGTTTAGTTTCATGGTAAATAAATACGTCACAGTGTTATGAAATATTCGGAATTAGACTCGACAGACGAAAAATATATGTATATTCTGCGTAAATATAAAGACAATGGCGTACGGAAAAAAGATGATGGATTATATCATCAAGTTTTATTTATTTCGTTTATAAACATCCTTCTAGCTCGAAAAGAATAAATTTCTGAAAAATGATCATTACTCGAGAGATATCTTATACATTCATTTTATGAATTGCATACAATTAAAAAAATTATACTGCTTGTTTCTTACGATATAAAAACACATAAAACACCAATATATATATATATATATATATATATATATATATATATATATATATAGGTAAGATGAGGATGAATAAAGTACAATTCCATCGTTCGTGACATTTAATTTAAAATAGGTCTCAATAAAAAGCAGAGCAATATTAAAGAAAAGAAATGGAAATCGGAAGATAATTTGGTGCACATCCCTATTTAATAAATTAGTACCAAGTTAGACTATAAGTTCCTTCAACTGACTGATAAATATTAGCAAAATATTTAACAGGAACAAATCAAAACTAAATTATAGCTGTACCAATAATCTAGAGAAGATTATAAATTTACACAATAATAAAATTTTAAACCAATTTAATAATGTGGACACACACATAATACACACTCAAAGATTAATGACACCGGCCATTGTAATTGTAGGAATTCTGACCAATGTCCATTGCAAACAAATGTTCAACTAATTTTTTTGTATATATTCATACAATCTCCACAATAGAGAATCCGACCGCTGAAAAAATCTATATTGGTAGTACTAAGAATCCTTTCAAAACTAGGTGGTATCAACATATCTTGTCCTTCACCAATAGTACATACACAAATGATACATCACTTTCTAAATATTTTTGGAGTGTAAAAGATGAAAATAAAACTCCTAAGGTGAAATGTAAAATTTTAAAAACGTCAAGAATATTTAGATTTTTATATGAACGTCAAGAATATTTAGATATTTATATGAACCGTTTTTTCTGTGTTTACATAAAAAATTGGAAATTATCAGATTAAACAAAAATTCCTTATTAAAGAAATGAATTAAAAGTAATGACCTCATGATATTTTCTACTGATTATTTTGTTAAAAGAATGATCAGACATATTTTACATCGATAAAGCACTTCGTAATGTGTGAACTCTACTTTTGAGCACAATGACATGAGCTACCAGAAATCCATTCAATGAGTCTATCGGAACTTTTGCCAATCAATCCGAGGGCTCCAACTGCAACTAGAATTATTAATGTCTTCATGTGCCACATTTTTGAGATGTCCATTGCAAGATCCTTGTATTTTGATGGGTTTTCAAAGATATATAACAATCTGCAGGGACTGTCATGTCAATAAGAAAGCACATTCTGTTTTTCTGATCTTTGAACACGATGTCCGGGTGATTAGCTTTGATTGTTTTGACTATGTGTATTGTAAAGTCTCATTAAATTGTTACAGGTCCTATCTCTGTATCCGGGTCTGGGTGGTGTTCATACGACGTTTTTTGCAGTTTCCTTCTAGTTAAATTTGCATAATTTTCAGTGGAGATATTGGCCCACACTATCATGTCGAGTTTTATAATCAGTGGGTGCCAACACTATATAACCTGATGGCTAATTGTTTTTGCCTATTTATCACAGAATGTCCATTTCGGTTTAATTTCATTATGTGTGTGACTGGTAGTTTCTATTGATCCCGTGCAACAAGAATAATACCTTCGCTTTCAGCTTTTAACCCTACACTACGTAACCACTGATGGATACGTGGTTTTTCAACATTATCATGTTTGGTACAGACTGAGTATTGACCATGAAAATGCTTATCTCGCCGTCGTTTTTGCATTTGGTACATTGCTTTTGCTTTCTTTTTTTAGGTTCCTTCCTGCTGCAGTTGATGTATTATGGTTTATTTGCACTTATTCACACTTGCAATTCCTTTTTGTCTTTGTTGGATTCCTTCATTATTGAATAAAGTTTCCTTATTTCTTTCATTGGTAATGGATAGCGATTCGGATTGAGGAATAGGAGAGAGCCGAGTTCGAATTCCAGTCGAATCTATTACATTCGCTTACGTGCTAATACCCTTGGGAAAGTTATGAATCCTATTCTCCGTACAGCTATGGGTAAACAGCAGGACAGACTAGGTTCTATAGCCTTGGATGACAACTGCTCTACCGCAGAAAAAAATGGCA